TAAGTAACTAAGTATATTGTATGAAGCTCTAGTATATAGTAGTAGGTATTAAGCCCTTATAGCTTAATATATTTAACTTAAGTTCTAAGTACAAGTATAATATACAGAGTTATTCTACTTGTCTAAGTTACTATCCTATTACACACTATCTCTCTATCTNNNAAAACTAACTAATAAGAAGCTTAANACNAGAAGTCTTATATTACTTCTACTTAAGCTATACTCTTAATAAATACCTATTTCTTACCTATAGATAGTAGAGGTAGATCTTAGCTACGCGCTGTAAGTAACGTGTCTACTATTTATCGCATATTAATAATATAGAGCAGAAAGCCTCGTTAATCTAGCTCTAGAATCTACTAAATAAGAGACTACTCCTTAATAGGTAATAGCTTACGCCTAGTAGACGGAATCTCTAATCGTGGCTAAATACTACAGAGGCGTGTCTAGAGCGTTAATTTTAGTATGTCGTACGCTTTCGCGAGAGAGTAAATAGATTATTTTAGATTATTATACTAGAACGCTATAGTAAGACTTATTCTACCTTTATAAGAAGTCTATATAGAACGCTGTTATCGCGGCATTATAGTAGTTATAAAGAGTGTCGCGTTAAGTTTAGTGGGGCGGCCAGCTTACTATTCCGGCCAGCTTACTAATCCCGCACGTTATATAATAGTAATTATTAGAAGTAGAGATAACTATTAGTAATAGTAAGTTAAAGTTCTAATAGTAGAACTAGAAGTGATAAGAATATAAGGATAGATAGATTTTATTATTACTCTTATTATAGTTAACTTANATTATACTTTCTTACTGGTTACTTTACTTAATAAGATTATTACTTATTAGTCTATTTAATATAGATTAGTAGTTGTTAAATCTTTATTACCCTTTATTTAAGTATACTACTTTACTACATTGCTAGATAAACTCTTACGGCGCTCCTCATAGTAGACTAGTATTTAGATAGAGGTTAGGTAGGGGTAGGGTTGCCAAGAGTTGGGTAGGGGTTGGGTAGGGTAGTGATTAGGTAAGACCCCTACCTCTACCCCTACCCAACTCTTGGCGCCAAGATTGGGTAGAGGCTGGGTATGGTCGCACGGGCCTTAGGTAGAGGTAGGGGTAGGGTAGTGATTATGTAATACCCTACCCTACCCCTGCCGTGATTAATAAACGTGATAAATACTCTTAGTGGTTAATAGATACCCCTTACCTCTACCCTACCCAGAGGTAGGAGGGTACCCAATGACCAGTCTATCCTCACATTATCTCACTCGCCCTAATCCGGATCGAGCTTAGAGAAGTATCAGCACCTAACCCCGTGTAACATATTCTTACAATCTATCTATATCTAAGTCTGTATTTTATTATAATTATAAATAATATTGAGAAGAAATCAAGCATATATTTGGAGCTTACTATAATGTAAGTTAGTAGCTAGGGCTGAAAAGGTTATATAATAGTAGCCGGAGAGTGATATACTATTACTAAGTGTTATAATACATACATCCTTAGATTAGAAGCTAAAGGGTATTAGGATAAGCTGGTATTAGCTACGAAGTAGTAATACACCTGGTACGTATCTAAAAGGAGCTAGAGTATAGTTATTGCACAGCTATTTACACCGCGACTATTGTATCTGTCTCGTTACAACTGTCATTTGTTGAGTGGGTGGTCTTCCCCTCACTGTACTCTCTCCCGTTCTTAGCAGGTTCTTGACCTGAAAAACAGAGCGTCGTTCCCACTGAATAAGCGCTCGAAGCAAAACCCTAACAACATGCCGTGCTTCATCGTCTAGGTACTCGCATTAACGCCCCGATGCATTGATGATGTCTTCTGACGGGAAAACAATTAACGATAGTATCTCTTGTTGATCTATGACAGACCCTAGAATATATAGCGAGCCTACCCAGAGCTAAATGTCTATAGATGGCCCCATGGGGTTGGCAGTACTTCGTCCTCTACATCTGAAATCCTTGCCTCTTCGACGCGCGATTCCGCTCCTCGACTTTTTTCACTCCGCGCATCTGTCGCCGGCCTACTTAACACATCCATTTCGTTCGACTTTCCCGCTTCCTGCTCATGGTCCGGTGAAATCTGCTTCCAGCTTCGGAATCCTCTGCCCGCTGGCGTAGAGTTGGGTTTTATAATGTCAACACCCCGACCCGGGGCGCTGGATCCATACGAGCGGTATCGCGAGGTGATTGATGAGAAGAAACCGTCCGGCAGGATGCGTCCCAGCAACATGCGGATTGCGGGCAAGGAGAGGCAGGCGAAACAACATGCAAGCTCGATTTCAGTCCATATGGTGATGGGAACGTAGTCCCAAGTGGGGTCGATTGTGGCCTTAAAGGTCAGGATCGTGTGTAGACGGACTATCGTGGCTATGCACCCTCTTTTATTTTCGTTAGTCTACCCACTTCTACCTGGAAATGACAATGGGAAATACGTACAGTGTTCCAATAGCGAACATGATGCCCACCATTATCTTGCGCCACCTCGTCATATTCAGCGTCCGAATGCATGCCAGAGGGAAAATCAGCAGAGCAACATCCTGGGCAATCGCTGATGCACTGTTCGCGTATGCTATGGCATTGATGTCCGTACACTTGGCGGTCTTGATATCGCGGTCCCAGAATGCGTTTACAGGGTTACAGTTGAAGATTGTGAGGAAGATCAGAATTAAAGTGTTGATGGCGATCCAAACCAAGAGCACCAATGATCCCCGTTGCGCGCCTGGCAATGGGAAAACCTCTCTGTACAACAATGCCAAGGATATCTTGGTGAGTCCAAGTACAAACGTGTAGGTTACCCATGCCACGTAGAAGAATCGAAGGTTCTGGAGTAGTTGTCCTTCCTGGAGATTCCAGAGATGTTCGCCAAAGCCTACCCCGGCCATTTTGAGCACTATTCCCAAAGGAACTGTGGTGAAAAGCAGTGCTGTAACCACAATGTAGTCGTCAAGAGCAAATCTTCGAGTCACTACTCTACCGATAACCCGCAGAAGCACAAAGCTTACGGCGATGGCGTAGCAAGCGATTGTATAGACGTAGACATCGTTTTGCTTTGACTCATTGGAGAGGTGGCAGATGTCCTGTTGCACTTTCGCCGTATTTAGGGTGTCGGCCATGGTGCAATTGGCCAGCATGCAGGTCGAAAGGGTGTGGGCGAGTTGGGCATTCTGGCATTGGCAGTCATAATCGTCGAGAGCGCAGCCAGTGGGTGGCACAGTGAGGAACAGGCAGCTCAACTGTATGAAATGTCAGCCTACAAAAGTCTTAGAAAAAAATTCCTAAAACGTAATAGATGTCTGGAGACCCACACCACAGAGCGGGATATCACTGATTGACAAAGTCCGCGAGTCCATACTTCGAATATCGTTGAGTGCAGCAACACCGATTTGACTTAGCTAGGTACACAGCGCAGCTACGAACAATTTTCGAATTTGCATCTCTTCAAGCACTGTCGCAGAGTTGCACCACCTGGGCACCTGACCCAGGAAGAATAGTTCCTTGGAACTTGCATAGGGGTGGCTCAGTTTACATATCAGCTCGCACAAAGATTGCCTCAGAAGTGCCCGAAACCTCGCAAGGCATAGTGCGAACCTGGCCCTGACCCTGAATCAGACGACACGCACGGCTCCGATTGATGGATGAACACCAAGTTAGTCTGCCAGGTTCTGGTGGCGAGCAAGTCTATCTTTTGCCACCTGATTACAGGGAAGCAATGAGTAAAGCTATTTGTAAAAGAATTCCTTGAACCGGTTGGAGTACAGCAAAAACAACTCAAGCGAAGGTTCGATTACTTTGATGAACATCTATTCAGAGCTTTCTAGTGAGTGTAACGGATCAATGCGAGGTAGGGATGTAGGGGTTTCTTCCTTGGCGTGTAGCAGCATCTCCACGACACTAGATGGATTGGCGTAAACCTTATTCCTCTGAATTCTCAACAGGCAAAATTACCTTGCGCTGATAATGATTTTAATGATGGATCTAACGAAGTGGGAGCGCAGTGTGATGATTCTGGGCAATCTTGAATGAGGTTCACCGTACGATAGGTACCTCGAACGTTGTGTTCTTTGCGTATATCGACGAATAGCTTTGGACAATATGTGTCGGCCGGTACATCTAGTGCGATGGTGCTGTGGATCTTCTCCTGCCAAGGCGTGTCATGGTGAACGCCACTACTCGCCACTTATACCCAATAACCACTCCAGGGTTCGCGTCCGCGGACAGAACTGTGCCCCGATGTTCTGCCAGCTGCCGGGTAGATTATCGTAGAACAGCTGCAACTACCGTCTGGAGACGCGAATTTCACGACAGGGATGGCTAGTGAGCCTAGTAGTGCAGATGTCAAAAAAATTAGCGGCGCCAGTGCCGATCTACTCAGGCCGCACGAGGCCGGCGTTGAAGACGCTGGGCAGCACTCTCAGCAGAACGGGACAATGTAATCTAACGGGACAATGTAATCTAACGCTCTCTCGGCCATCCCCAGCAGGATAGAGGCACAGTGGCAACATTTAGCAAAAGTAGTGTATTATAGATAAACGCTAGTTTTTGTTTCTTTATCTATAGAGAATTATCCTAAGTTTTTAGGATACTGGCAGCAAGTAAGATTGCGTCGCTAGTCTTTTGAACCCACTCCTGCGCTAGGTCGGCGTCTTGATCAAAAGTGATACTCTCTGTGATACCGGGAAACGTCACGGGAGCATATCCCGTATCTCGACCGGGAGCGAAGATAGTATGTTGATAGAACTCACGGGTGGGCAAGCCACCCTGGCTAGTGAACCCACGAGAGAAATCTCGAGCTTTGTGATTCTGCACGGTGATAAGCGCGGTATCGTTGGCCGCAACTGCTTGATCCCGAAGAAGGACGAATTCCTTGGCCGATCTCTCAAACGTGGAGATGGCACTTGTCAGATTGCTGAGGTCAATGGTGAAGTTACTGGCACTGATATCCTCCTTCAGAGAATCGAGGTAGGTATTGAGCTCAGAGACATAGTCGGCTGGCTCCAGAGGCACCACAGGATCGGAGACCATGTGGTAAAGTAGAAGGGAGAGGAACTGACCCATGGCCTTGTGTGTAGCAAAACCTGGGTCACCAAAGGTCGCCATCCAGTGATAAGAGTCATAGTTGGAATGGTAAGGGTAGACGGGATCATTTGGTCCGGGACCAGCTCCCATGTCGATGGATGCAATACCACGGTGGAGGAAGGCAGTATAATCACTTCCACTGCCGAGGACGCCAACTTCACCGGACTCGTGCGTCCACACGTCGTACATGGTAAGACCGGTCTCGTTACGGTATGGATATACGACCTTTTTCATCAACGAGGTAGCAATGGCATGGAGGTCAGGAGTTGCCGCAACATCGGGGATCTGGAGATTGGCCGACAATGTTAGTATGGCTTACGCATGCATTATGCAATTGATGCTTACCGGGCCAGAAACTGCTACATCAATATTTAGGTAGGAGACTGCGGCGTTCTTGAGCCATGGAAGATATTCTTCCATCCATTCAGTACTAGAGACATGTTAGTTGAAGACACCAACAGTAACATGTGGCATACATACCTTCCAACAAGACCATACTCTTCGGCATCCCAGCTGCAGAGTACGATGGTACGTAATGGCTTCCATCCAGTCTCTGAGAGTGCGCCAAATGCCTTAGCTAGCTCGATGAGCACAGCGGATCCAGAGTTGGGATCAGCTGCCCCGCCAACAATCCAAGCATCTCTGTGGTTCCCGACAATAACGACTTCGTCTTGATTGGTTCCATTGATGATACCGACGGCATTCCAGATTGTACCATATGTGTCATTCATAACATTGGACATGGAAAGCGTAGCGCCCGATCCCTCACCAGTGTAGTATTCTACACCTGGAATAGCGCCAATCCACCTCGTCCTGTTGACTTCAGTACCATTTGAACCGTGTCCGTTGAGAGCTAGTAGCAGAGGCTGTGCCTCAATCCATGAGATGGGAAGACTGGGAATTTGGGGAAGAATGTTTCTGCGGTCAGAGCGCGGTGAGTTTGGCTTAGAGACATAGCCAGGCGTGGTTGGGTCTCCTGGGTATGTACTCAAGAATTGGACCGATCCACGCTGGACGGTGGTAGGGTTTCTAGCACCGCCATGAGGGTAAGGAGCGACACCCTTTGCTCTGGAGACTGTTAGCACAACGGGACGTGAATAGGCTAGACATGCAATTACTCGGTCATGTTGCCATCGTCACCAGGATCGGTGAAGATGACGGCTCCAATCATGCCGTGGTCCTGAGCATTCTTGACCTTGAGACCTCGAAAAGGCCCACCATACTTGGCCAATGCGATCTTACCCTCGAGTTCGACACCAAGCTCAATCAGACGATCGAAGTCGACTTGCTGGCCTCTACCGACGTAGATGTATTCTGCAGACGCATTGCCAGTAAAGGAGTAGCCGTGGAATACGGGCACACTGTTTGGGTAGCTGGTGGTTGGATCCTCTTCAAGCACAGCTTCTTTTAGACTAGGAGTGTACGTGCTCCCATTATTATAAGTGAGCTCCAAGGAGTTTGACACGGGATAGTTCAAGAATACGTCTGGAAAACTGTCAATCCATGTCTCGTTGCAAGATTTGGGTCGAGGTTGTGCCTACAATATTCGTCCAAGCGTGAAGTGAAACCGTAGTCGGACCACCTATCTGCCGTCCATTGTGCTTTGATCATAAATTAGCTTTTTTTGTTGAGAACACTGGCGGAGGTGGTGATTGATTACCCATGGATTTGTTCTGGCCAGCCAAGTGGGCGCCATGAGCTGCGAAGAGTTAGCAGTGCTGTGGTTGCGGAGGGACTTGCGACACGAACTATAGTAGTATGACCATTCAGATATGGAGAGGGCGTCGAAAGAATTGAGCAAGATCTCCTCATGTGGGGTCAAGGTGGGGGGAAAGGATGCCTGCCGTTTAACGTGCGGGTGGGAATGATGGTGGAAAGCACGTTCACGCTGGCAGGCCTGAGCGCCAATGGCCGCAAGGACCAAGAGTGATGGCCTCATGATGTTGACGGACTGAGTGAGAGGATGAAGATGGCACGTCCTGGTGGGACACAAAGTGTATCTAGCAATCCCTGCGTATCCGTGACTTTAAATACTTGCACATAGATATGGCAAGCTTTGACGCAGCAACGTCAACGATACCGTTGAAGGAAAAGATTCGGCGAAAGGCAGCGATTGGCGGTGACGTCGGATACTGCGGCTTGCGTGTATTTGGTATCCAGGAATGCAGGTACTAGGAGATATGCGGGCAATTGACTAACTCAGGGTGGAAGGTCGCGGGGTTGGATATGCGCGAGGCAGCATCAACGTGCTTGGCCGCGAGGGATGACGATATCGGCTGTAGGATAGCCGGTCGGCTTCTGGAATCGAAAGGAGCATCTTGAATGACGCGGGGCGCAAGGCGTCAGTAAGACGGGCATACCGATGGCCGGGGTATGTAAGTAAGTGTGTGTGTATATGCATGTATTGATTGCTGTGCGGGGAAGGGCAGTGGGGATTCCCCATTCGTAACGACCATATCTCACTCTTTGTCTCGCTCGTGTCTGTCGCAATCCCATGAAAACGCAAACGAAAGGGACTGAGACGTTGAAGTTGGTGAAATAGTGCCTCGGACCATCATGGTATCACCCTACTGTGGCGTTTGCGCAGCTATGGTATTCGTGGATGGTATTGCGTGTCTGTGTGTCAGTGTGTCTGTATGTAGGTGTGGAGAAGGAACTGGAAACTGACCGGGGCTTATCCTCTTTGGGACTAGACCATGACAAGTTTCGAATCATTGTATCAACGGGGATTGTGAGCTGTGCACAAACGAATACTATACTTATATGAGACGACACTGAATAGTATTGTGCCATGTAAAGTTGCAGTGTCGGACCCTCACCACTTTCCCGTTGCCATGCCTATCATTGTCTTTGAACTACGGCTTCCATTGTACCACGTATATAGAAAAAAAATTCAAGTATAAATACATAATATATAATGAATATATCTAACCTTTCACAAGTCCGTGTACTCCACGTCCGAGATCTGTTACTTAGCAGGCCAATCAAGCTCACGGCACCGGTGCTTCTTTCTGATTCAATGCTCACGAAAAGCTTGACACGGCGTGTAGATCGCCGACATGGAATTGCATCAACTGCGTGCAAGTGCGTTGTTGGGGTCCTGGACTCTATTTCCGGCTCCCCCGACGCACCCACCACTTCCGTAGCGCCACAAGCCAGCACTGTACGTACACTCCAAGTCAACAAATACTCTGAGCTGCCGGCAGCGCAAACGTCTTGCTCGCACCATCAGTCGCAAACAAGACGGGCGGCACGCTCCAACAATCCTTGCGGTAGACACGCCGAGAAGACATCCCGTCTTGCGTGCCCCGTCCGGTGGCCCAATCGCTACCGTACAGGACCCTTGTTTATAAAGAGACAATCATCCACTCAATCATCCGCTTCACCAGCGTTCGCGAGCGGCATCATGGACGCCTTTTCGTCCCCCGTGCGCTTGATGCCACCGCATACCCCCCGACGGGTCCCATCGCCAGTCATGTCGCCCAGTGGCCGGAGAGGCCGCCTCCACGCCGGTTCAGAAGACGGCCGCCTTCGCGATCTGTCGCCCGAGACGACACTGCGCGCCTTCACCTACACTCCCGTGCCGTTCGACACTACGCGCGACGAATACAAAATCTTTGCCTGTATCGACACCCTCACCGCCGCCGAGAGAGACCTAGGCGCGCGCGTCGCCAAGGCCGCCCAACGCCTCAAGGCATGGTGCGCTGAGATTGAGCAGTGGGGATGGTCGGGCTCTTTTGAGGAACCCAGCCCTCAATTGCGCGAGCAGAAACGCAAGAGTATCGAGCTGCGCATCAAGCAACACGTCGGCCGTCTCGACCTCGGCCTCGACCACGCCGTGCCGCCGCTTGAATACTGGGGCTCGCTGCTTTCAGTCGAGGTGGAGCAGCATGAGGCGCGCCTCGACGAGATTGGCGACGAGATGCTCAAACTAGACGTCGAAGAGCTCAAGGAATACGTGCTGGATATGCATCCCGCTGCAAAGTCCAGGCCCTCCTCTGCCGGCTACGAAGCCACTCGCCAACACTACAAGGTCATGGATGACTTTTCCTTCCTCATCACCCAGACCCTGCTGTCAGCCCTACCACATCACACCAAGCTCAAAGAGCGCCTCAACACATGGACAGCCCGAGTCTCCATCTTGCGCGAGGCTCCTCGTTACATCAGCGACCTTGATACCGCGCAGAAGGCCATGCGCTTGGGCTGGGACGCCATCGAGCCGCCAGCTGATCCCTCTGATCTTGCCTTTGAACAGTGGAAAGAAGCTATAGACACCATTTCCACCGTCCTTCATCAGAGAGTGAGCAGTTTGGGTAGACGTTTGGACAGGATGCTCGACACACTTGAAGGCCGAGAAGATTGCTTGCCAGAGCACTGGATAGACACTTTTGAGGCTACAGAGGCAGACTACGGGCGTTGGAAACATGAGTCTAGGAGGAGACTGATCGATGCAGAGGTACGCAGGCGAGCAGACGACTCAGCTGCACCAAGAAGCGCACTTGCTACCACCCAGCAGTTGTCACCAGATCCCAGCTCGAGCGCAATTCCAAAAACAGACCATAATATCGATCAGTCCTCTTCAATCGCTACAGCTCTTGTCAAATCCAGTGCCAGTGAAGATAGGCATATAGAGGCAAACTCTGATTCTCCCATGAACAGACCTCCAAGTCTTGTTTTGCAATCAGATGCACTCAGAAAGCCAGGACACTCTCTCGAGTCTATAGATGAGATCATTTCACCCAAGATACGCTCAGCAACGTCCCCAAAAAACGCCGTCGCGTTATCTCCTCGGCAGCATATGGCTCTTCTGGGTTACGATGCGCCTGCAGAAGACGATTCGCCTTTTGTATCTGGCAGCTCACCACAACCTTCGTCTAGCGTACTTCCAGCAAACGTCAGCTTCGAGTCTGGGCCGCTACCCTCTGACGATGAATCGGAATTTGACGAAGGCGATACTGTTGTGCATCACGTTCTCAACGAGAGCCCGGACCATGGCGCTGTTCTAGCCGAGTCCGATTCATTGTTTCCAGGCGACCCCAAACCAGATGACTCATCGGAAAACCATATGCAACATTATCCCAGGGTCCTTGCGATCCCAGATATGCCAATTCTCACCGCCAAAGATAGCAGCGATGATGCCGTCATTGACCCTCCCCAGACACCGCGCTCCTGGAGGGGAAGCCTTGGATCATTTTCCACGGACCTGTCTCCAGACTCAAGCCCACACAGTACTGTCGAAGAGTCCCCGTCAGTGCGCAACCCTACTCTCCGTGAAATGAGGATGCCTCATTCAGAACTCAATGGCGCCATGCCAAAGCGGCGACTGGAACAAGAATCAACCACTCTCGAACAACCTCCAGCTAATGCACCATGGCCGCCATCTCATTTCACTCACAAACCTGGTAACAGCGCAGAGGAACTGGAGCGTAAGATCTCTGATATCCTGACAACAATTCCGGCGCACATCAGGCTCACGTCAGGTCCCGGACCTAACGCTCCCGAAGTAAAACCAGCACGTGGTTTGACGGCAAAAGGAAGTCGTACGTATTTACGTGCAGCTCGCTCTGTGAGCAACTTCAAAGCACCTGAGCTTGTTCTGTCCCCTGCCAAGAGTGAATTTGATCTTCACAATGCCTCGTCTGGCCGTAGATCTGCAGCAGCAGCAAGAGGCGATAACGATATCAAGCTATATCATCTTACCCAACCAGGCAAGGAGCAACCCGTCAAGCTATTCATTCGTCGCGTAGGGGAGAATGGCGAGCGTGTCATGGTACGCGTTGGTGGTGGCTGGTCTGATCTCGGCGAATATCTGCGTCAATACGCTGAGCACCACGGTCGACGGACAGCAAGCGAGGGCAAATTCGAAGTCGTGGGTCTTGAAATCAAGAATCCAGATCAATCACCCGGTCGCCCAGAGAGCGTCATGAGTAGGCGAGAGAGGCGCATCAGCGCTGGCTACCCGATTCCCAGCCCTTCCACTACCCCTGTCAAAGCTTCTGGTTTGGGCGTCGGCATCTCTAGAGACCAAACGCCTCCGCGAATGCCGACTTTCCACGCTTCAACCCCAGATCGGGGCGAAGAACCAGATGTACCCTCGACCACGTCATCTCGTAGTTCGTGGCAAGGCAAAGAAGTTGGGCTTGCGGGCCCAACGTCCAAAAAGTTGGATCTCAGCGGTGACAAGCTGGTGTGGATTGAAGGCATGATGAAGCAAGCTCGCACCGTGAGCACAAACGCAATTCCAACCGATCGTCCCGTCTCGCAACGCGACGAGCGTCCACTCACCAGTGGCGGCAGTCGTCCAGGAAGCCGCGCGGGCCCCGGGGGAGCTCTGGGCGGCAAGAAGCCTGAATTCAAAGACTTGGGTAGAGTCGGTGGGACAAGGAGGCTCTTTATGAAGGGCGGGAACCCCACTTTTGGTGAGTAATGCGAGCGCCATTTTCCCAGGGCGCTGGCAGTGTATAAAACAAGAATATTTGATACCCCAGGGCTTTTTCGGCACATATTTCAATGGTTAGGTTGTTCTCTTTTCCCGTTTATTACCTTGGCGTCTAGTAAGCAAAGGCAAAGGGGCCTCTTGCTTTCGGTTTTGGGGTTTCAGTCTTTTTTTTTCCTCCAAGGCGGATTCAATGGGATCATGATTAGAAGAGTATGCTTCATAGCACTGGGACAAGGGGGCTGGATACGCCAGAAACCTCTCGTATGGTTCACATTGACCATTGTTTGCAGTCAAACAATAATAATATTTGATCTTTACTGATCTAGTCTTCTACTAAACTCGCTCATATGGTGCATGCTACGTTTTCCTGTTGTCATGTCAAAAGAATTCCAGGACGTCTGTCCCCGTCAAAGCAAAGAAAATACAATTTAAATTGGACATGAATGTGCCAAAGGCCTGATGTCGTTCAAGCCATGGGAGGTGCCCCGAGGAGCTGGCGAGATAGAACAAAATGAGTGCCAAAGGCAAGTAGCACCATGTTCCAAGAAGCCAGCTAGCACAAAACGTACAATGCTGATATGGATGTCATGGGCTGGGTTGATCTTCGCACGTAGACTAATCGACACAGTATTGAGGAATAACTTGTGGCAATTTAAGAAAGTGCGGATTGGGTCTTGGGACGGCTCTAGGCCAAGGCTGGACACATGGTTGTGAGATCATACATGATGATACATGGTGATTACAACTGTAGCTATTCGTCCTCATCTTCCTCATCGCCTTGGACATCCATGACGCGTTCGCCAGCTCTTTCGAGCGTTCGGCGACTCCAAGATCGAACTCCCTTGTAAATTGCCTATTCAAAATCAGCATGCGTTTTCACTTGACATGGTCCCGGCACATACCGTTAAGAAGGTAGCAACACCAACTAGAATGATGATCCAGCTGATTTGTTCATAGCGATCGCGACCCGTCGTACGACCTCGGGCGCCTCCTCCAATCCTAAAATAACTGAGTGGACTAGCAAGCAGGACTTTCAAGAAGCCAAGAACGCCCATGCTTGCAAATCCTTTTGCAAAGTGCTCATACCAAGTAGATGATTCGTCTTCGTAGTAGTAAGAGTAATCAGAGGCTGAATGCCCAGACCAGGGAAGCAGCACACTCCAGGGGTCAAGATATAAGTTGATGATAGGGTCGGCAACAAATCCTAAGACGAAGATGATGGAAAACAGTATGAGGACGGTCAAACCAACCTGAGCAGCTAGCGAGATTGTTAGCTTTCATTGGTGAATAAGGAGAAATGGCCGGTATAACATACAAACACTGCCAATAATCCGGCCGACACCCAAACGGGCCAGGCGGTACCTGAAGCCACAGGTTGGACATTGCCAATAGTTTCTGCGACCGTAGCTGGGGTCTGCATGCCTCCAGGCTTGCAAGCACGCGTCATGAACATACTTGGATGAGCCCTTGCACATGCACGGGCGGATCAGGCGACCAGTCTCATCTTCGTAAACCACATTGGAAGACTGTAAGAAGCCGGGTAGGTTTGGCGAAGGGACGTTGAAGGTCGGCTGGACCGTCTCGAGGCATATTCTGCACTGTCTGGGGGGCCAGTGGGTGCGTCTGGAACTACGCGGTTGCGATGACGAATTTGGACCGCTTGCAGATTCACCAGTGTGCTGTTGCCGCGATGATGTATCTGCAGAGGCGGTACCAGACTGCGCAGGCTCATGCTTGGGTACGTCATCTGGCCAGTACCATCCTGGCATGGGCTGGAAGCCAGAAGATGAAGACATAGGGGCAGGAGGGTATAGTATCAAGGCTGGGAGGTGAGCTTAATCTGACTCTTACCAGGGAGGAAGCACGTAAGTGAACATGAAGAGGACGAGGGGGATCAATCAAGAAGCCGCGGGGAAGACATTCGCCAACTCAAATGTCCCGGTAATACGGATCATGTTCCGGCACAGCCGCGTCTTCTTGCGCACAGCGGGGGGTGTGCGGGCTGCGGGGACACGGTGGCAGGCGGCTGCAGACGGTTTGAGGGATTCGAAGACGCAGTTCTGGAAGGCGGGAGAATTCAGAGTTGCAGCTTTACTCTTTGGTCGAAGAGGCCGGAGCTAGGGTAAAGCCGAGCGCCGGCCTTGGCAAGCCTGCAACGAAGCTCTGGGTAGCCTGGAGCTCTAGTGGCAGCTCGCCGTTCACTGCGTGCGCCGTCTCTCCACCCCCGCCGCCCGACAACAACAATAACGACGACGACGACGACTACTGCAGCATTATCATCCACGCTGAACTGAGCTTGTCGGATCACAACCCCCTTAGTCGCCATGGCGGACAGATACTCTTTCTCCCTCACCACCTTCTCTCCCAGGTAAACTATGCACTGCACTACCGCCTGCACATATGCCATGGTCACTGACAGTTCGTGCAGCGGAAAGCTGGTTCAGATTGGTATGCCGCCTTGCACGCACGCTCCCAGTGTTGCAGCGTGGGCCATTGTCCGTGTTCTGACTTTACAACAGAGTATGCCTTGAACGCCGTCAATCAGGGCGTTACCTCACTAGGAATTAAGGGTATGTCTTTCCTCCAACAGCTGTGCAACGCCACTGACCAACTGCTGTAGCCACCAATGGCATCGTCCTCGCAACGGAGAAGAAATCGTCATCGCCGCTCATTGACTCGCAATCCTCGTCCAAGATCAGTCTCATAACGCCTAACCTCGGCATGGTCTACTCAGGCATGGGTCCCGATTATCGCGTCCTCGTCGACAAGGCGCGCAAGGTCTCGCATACTGGATACAAACGTGTCTACAATGAATACCCACCGACGAGGATATTAGTCCAAGACGTAGCGAGGGTCATGCAGGAGGCTACGCAGTCAGGTGGTGTCCGTCCATACGGCGTCAGTCTGCTTATTGCGGGTTGGGATGATGGCATTGAGCCCGAGGCCGAGGGCAAGAGCGACGAACAGACGAGTGAAGAGAAGAAGAAGGTCAGCGGCAAGACAGGCGGTATTCTCAAGGGTGGGCCCAGTCTATATCAGGTCGATCCGAGCGGCAGCTACTTCCCCTGGAAAGCAACAGCCATAGGTAAGAGCGCAACGAGTGCAAAGACATTCTTGGAAAAGCGATACACGGACGGTCTGGAGCTTGAGGATGCGATCCACATTGCCCTCCTCACCCTCAAGGAGACGATAGAAGGAGAAATGAATGGTGAAACTGTCGAAATAGGCATCGTTGGACCGCCGGAGGAGAGACTACTTGGTGTAGAGGGAGTCGAAGGTGCTGTCGGCCCACGCTTCAGGAAGCTGAGCCCCTCCGAAGTCGAGGACTACCTCACCAATCTGTAGATGGCTAGATGTCTTGCCGCACCACCCCTACCGAGTTATGACCAAAGGCATGAAGCGACTTATGTAGTATTTACGAAAACGATGTCCAACAATATCCAATGTGTGTTCCTTGTCTCTGCCTGCTGTTAGTTGATGGCGCGTCCCCTGCTGAAGGGTTGGTCAAAGCACAATGCGTCACATGTTGGCTGTTTGCCTTGTGCGACACACCTGCATGTCGCCGGTCAGCCAACATCACTACCGCGAACACCTCCCATGACTTACCCCTAAGGATACAACCATCGTCTCTATTGTTGATTTCGGTACTTATGCCACCTATGGATTCGCCATCTCACAATGGCGACAACGGTTCAATCGTTGCGGCTACTCCAGACGAGGTATTCCATCTGCGGGGCTACCAGGCTGAAATGGTTGCGGAGAGCATGAAAGCCAACATCATTGTTGTCATGGATACAGGTTCTGGAAAAACGCATATGTAGGCTGCCCACTTTGTTTTTCAAGGAATGGAATTAATAGACTAGCAGAGCCATCGAACGTGCGCGGGCGGAACTGGAGACGTGCAAGCCCGACAAGGTGCGGATACTACCTGTCTACCGCTAAGTCCCACTACGCTAGACTACATCTCACCTATTCAGCTCGTCTGGTTTCTTGCACCCACAGTCGCACTTTGCGAACAGCAGTATGAAGTTTTCCAAGCCAACCTTCCTGGCTATGGTCATCTGCTTCTCTGCGGAAGAGACGTTGAGCTCTGGACGACACAGAGCGCCTGGAATGAGGTTTTTCAATACAATGTCAGAATTGTCATATCAACACATCAAATTCTACTTGACGCACTCACACATGGGTTCATAAACCTCCAAAAGCTAGCTTTACTCATATTTGACGAAGGTCCGTCATCTACTTTCAGAGAAGAATCAGCTTCGCTGATGAATTCTAGCTCACCACTGTACACTGAAACATCCGGCTCACAAGATTATGTCTGATTTCTATATGCCTCAGCGAAGCGACAGCAATTTCGCTTTACCTAAAGTTCTCGGCCTGAGTGCCAGCCCCGTCATGAGAGCAGCGGCCAACAAGCAAGGCCTAGAGTAATCTCTGCAATCCCACGGGTCCGTATCAGCTGACATGTACAAGGGTAATTGAACGAAACTTACAAGCGACTGTGAGAACACCAAAACTATATAGATCCGAGTTGCTTCGCTCTGTTCACCGACCAGAGCTAATCCAAGTCAACTACAATCGAGAGCGTTCCACTGGAAGTCTCTCGGTGTTGCTGTTGGCACTCAAGAATGCATATATGAACTATGACCTCATGCAGGACCCATATCTAATCGCACTCTTGGAACAGCAGAGAAATGGGTACAATGTCTCTCGACAGCTTCAGAAGCTCTGGGATAGCCAAAGGACTTACTGCTATGACCAGTTGAAGCAGCTGGTCTCAAAAGCTGAGGCAATGGCACAAGAGCTTGGAAACTCTGCTATGGAACATTACGTATATCAGTGCGTTAATGATTTCAAAAATCTGGCCCATGTTCAGTCTTGCGACTTGTCCACCGATGAGAGGCGACATCTTTTGAACATATTTGAACGTCTCCCAACCCAACACACCACAGGCATATCCAGTTCGATATTAGAAAGTTTATCAC